CTTGGGATTAGTTTGGACTCAATATTTAAACATAAATGATCATTGGATTCAACCACCCTATGAAGACCCAAGGATAATAGACTTATGCAAGATGAAGCCCACTTGGTAATAAGCCTTATCATGGATGAGAGAGTGTAAATCCTGATATTCAAATATGGTTGAAATCCATTGTCTACAATTTAGGTTTCCATCAGAGAGAGTGTAAACCTTGATATTCACTTTGTCTAAAAAAGGAGTCGATCCTATCATTATGATCACCCACTCAGGTAATTTCCCAAACTACTCTAACATGCCCAATTATTTGACCCTTGACGGATCTCACTAGTTGGCATATCAAAAACAGTTCAGTCCAAGACCTAGTGCAGTATCATAATCAAGTCTGGGGTTAAGTGCAACTTTCCAAGTTTTCCCATTTGTCTCCAAGGTCTAAGTCAAAAATGGAAATTGGTCTATGTTCAGTGTTTCTTCCAAACACCCATTAACTATGATTGGGGTCTAACCCTAGTAGTTGAGACAGGCTGCTCCACCAATTCGGTAGCACATTAGTGTCAGCCTTGTCAGGATAAACTCTCCAAGTCTATCCAATGGCTAAGAACATTCTAAACTAACACGAGTCTCATAAGTGTTCAGTTTAAAGAGTAATTCACAAAAACACACCGATCTGAACATAAAACAATAATGTACTTATGTTATTCATTTATAAATGTTTATGTACATCAATCTAATTGGAGCTAAGGGCATACATTGTCTAACATTATATCCCTTTGAGTGAAAGAATATCCAAGAAATACACACTTAATTCTTTAGCAACTTTAGGATATAATTTGACTCTAGGACTCAAAGGGATATAATGTTAGACAATGTATGCCCTTAGCTCCAATTAGATTGATGTACATCAACATTTATAAATTGTAGTGAGAATGGGCTGAATGGGCCTTGGTTTCTTTTATTTTATTTAAGTCATGTTATGTTTATGTTCTTTGAGTAGTGGGCCTTAGTTATGGGCCTGCTACTATTTTTTTATTGTTTCTCTAAGTGTTGGACGCCCCATTAAGGGCACTCATGGAATTGTACTTAGGTTAAACTTAAAAGAATAAAATAGATCAAAGGGAGCTAGAGAGAGGCAGAGCTTCTAGCTGCAGTATATGGGGTTGAGAAGGCCAAAGAGTTGGGGATTAATAGATTGATCATCGAGGGAGACTCAAAAACTGTGATAAAATGGTTGAAGAAAGGGGAAGGAGTGATCTGGCAGCTGAAGAATGATTTCAGAAGGTTCAAATGGATGTCAAGGAATATGTCAATTGAGGTGGGTTGGGTTAGGAGATCGGCCAACAGTTTGGCTGATAGCTTAGCAAAGCAAGGGGTTCAAAGAACAGATATGTTTTGGGCACATTTGTAATTCTGTCCTGGGTCAGCTTCTATGCTGATATCTTTGCAACTTCTTGTTGTATCCTAAATCATCTTAATTAATGAAAATTTTTAGAGTTATTGATAAAAAAAAAAGAGAAAGAGATCGAACTCTTATCTTTTCCCTTCCCTTTTCTTCTTCTCTCATCTCCTTCTACAAGCTTCTGCTGAAATCTCTCTTCTTTCTTTCTTCTCTCCTTTCTGTTGTTTCTGAATTACTACAGGTGTGTTTTTGAACTTGGTGTTAGAGTGGGTTCTCACATTCAGCATTTTTCTCTTTTCTTGGCCCATACACAATGTGTATGGAGAACTTATTGTCTGATTAATTAGCAGCTTATGCAGTCCATTTGGGAGGGTTTTTGGAGAGGTTTTGTGGAGTTTTTCATCCTTAGTTGAAGCTCAAGGTAGGTTCTTGGAGATTTTTTCCCGGAAACCCTAGAAAATTGGAGAAACTTGGTTACGGGTCCTAGAGACACTTTGAAGTTGGCACCTGGGGATCAAAGGGAATCCTTTTGATTTTCATTAAGGGTGATTTGAGTTGGACAGAGTTCTGAAGCCTTTGGATTTTTTGCTTGGGATAGCAATTCTAGCTTAGTAAAGCCCTAATTTGATTTTCATTTACATCCATTCACTCAATGGAGCAAACTGGAGAAGCAAAATATCCCATAGATTCTAGGTTTAGACATGGGGGGTCAGTGAAGACTCTATTAGGGGCAATGACTACTGTGAAGTTGGATGTGACCAATTATTTAGCATGGTCTTAGTCAATTAAAGATACATGTATGTAATGGAGGGAAATGGGGTTACATCACTGAGAGTAAGAAGAAACTAGTGGAGGATGACCCTGCCTATGAAAGGTAGATGCGGGAAAATTACATAATTTACATAGTAGTGGAATGGTTAGTGAACTCTATGTAGCCACATATTAGTCAACACTATCTATGGATGGATACTGCTAAGGAAGTGTTGGATATAGGAATGGCAATGGGGCGGGGCGGGGCGGGGATGGGGAGCCTCTCCCCATCCCAATCCCCGTCCCTGTCCCTGCAAACGGGGACAAGGTTATCCCCATCCCTGTCCCCACGGGGATCCCCATTCCTTGTGATTTTTTATAATGTTAACCATTTTCTTTTTGTTTTTTATTTTATTTAAAAAAAATAAAAATAAAATAATTAAAATTTACAATGCTATAGAAAAGATTCAAGCATATTCAAACATATTTTTAAAAATATTAATATATAGATGTATGCTTACATATATACATATATAATAGATGCATACACATATACATATATATATATATATTAGTGGGGATCCCACGGGGTGGGGGTCGGGGTCCCCGCGGGGCGGGGAGTGCTCTCCCCGTCCTCGTCCCATTCCTGCTAACGGGGATAAAAATTTCCCCATCCTCGTCCCTGCGGGGGAAATCATCCCCATCCTCGCCCCATTTGGGGCAAATCCTCACGGGGATCGGGGAAATGGGGAAAATTGCCATCCCTAGTTGTATAGTGTCACGGAGACCTATTCCCAGAAGCTGAATGTTGCTCGGGCCAACAAATTGAAGAATGATGTGAATAATTTAAGACAGGGAGAGAAGCCTTTAGTTGTCTACTTCTCCATGCTGAAATTTCTTTGGTAGGAGATTGATTTGATGGAAACTATTTTTTAGGGATGCACTACCACTAAGGATGCTGAAACACATAGGATGTTGGTGGAGAGAAATTGGGTTTTTGAGTTCCTTGCCGAACTTAACCCGAAGTATAATATTGTGAGCCTGGATGTTTTGGCAAAGGATGAGGTTACTTTACCTCAAGCTTATGCTATGGTGAGTAGTGAGGAGAGTAGATGACAGGTTCAGTTTGTAGATCCACAGGTTGATCACTATACTAATGTCGGGATGAAGCCGAAGATCATCACTGGGAAGAAAGATGTTATCTTGAGTACTGCAAGAAGCCCAAACATACTAAAGGCACTTGTTGGAAGCTGCACCTAGAGCTCATTCCTTTTAGATTCAAGAATGGAAACAATGGAAAAAGGATTGAGAGTGGAAAAGGTGGAAATGCAAATGTAGCCACCTCCTCATAGAGTGAATAGGGGCAGAGTGGTGAGAAGTCAATAGGAGAGCAGCTTGCAGTTGCCAAGGCTGAGTATGAGAAGTATGACCGAATAATCAGTCATTTAGAGTCTACTGCTACAACATCTACTTCATTAGAGATACTCCCTTCCTCTACATATGCACACTCAGGTATTTGTGCCACTGCAAATCATGCTTCTATCTCAGGTACTCATAAAATCCCTTAGATAATTGATTCTGGTGCCTCTGATCACATGACTAGTGTTTTACACTTGTTTACCTGTTACTAACTCCTATCTGGCCGAGACAAAATATCCCATGTTGATTGCTCTCTTGCCCCTATCATAGGAAAGGGAGACATCACAACATCACATGCCTTGACCTTATCATCTGTTCTTCATGTGCCTAAACTTAATACCAATTTGCTTTCAATTAATAGTTTAACTAATTCCTTGAATTGTAGTGTTACCTTTAATCCTTCATATTGTGTTTTAGGAGATGAAATCTCAAAAGGTGATTGGGAGTGGCCATGAGGCAAACATGATATATCTATGACATGCCTGAGCAGAGCCAAGCACAATTAACTACTTTTGTTTTAGAGTCCACTAATTGTGCTATGTTATGTCATTATCATTTGGATCATTTGTCTTTTTCTTCATTGAGTCAGTTATTTCCAAAGTTATTCAAAGGAATATATTGTTCACTCTGATGTGTGGGGGCCTTACCATTTACCTTGTGTGGGTGGCTATAAATATTTCATCCGGTTTATTGATGATTTTTCACGATATACATGGTTCTACCTTATGTGCTCTTGTGCTGAAGTGTCTAAACTTGTGCAACAATTCCACCAATATTTCCTCACTCAGTTTGATACCCACATCAAAATATTCCGATCAAACAATGCTAAGGAATATTTTGAGAAAGACGTATCTTGAAAAATTTGGGGTTGTTCATCAGAGTTCTTGCGCCTGTACTCCACTACAAAATGGAGTAGTGGAGAGGAAAAATAGATATATTGTGGAAGATGCAAGGAGTATTCTTTTTGCTAGCTATGTTCTTGTGAAATTTTGGGGTGATGTAGTTTTAACATCCACTTATTTTATTATCCTTATGCCTTCCCTAGTATTGGGTTAAAGCCTCCTTTCGGTGCCTTCTTTCCTAGTTTTGATGTCTTCTCTATTCCTCTGCGTGTCTTTGGTTGTACTTGCTATGTCCACATTCCTAGTTGCAAGATACATAAGTTTAAACCCAAGGCTCAGAAGTGTATCTTCCTTGGTTATGCCTCCATACAAAAAGGGTACTATTGTTTTGATCCCATTAGTGGCTCTCGGTTTGTTTCTATGGATGTCACCTTTGTAGAGTCAATTCCCTTTTATAGTCATCCTTTTGAGGGGGACTGAAATAGAAGCACTCTATAAAAATAATTCCTAGGACATTGTTGACTTGCCAATTGGGAAGGAACTTGTTGGGTGTAAGTGGGTTTACACTGTCAAGTATCATGTTGATGGGTCGATGGAGAGATATAAGGCATGTTTTGTTTTCAAGCGATATACCTAGATGCATGGGATAGATTACATCGAGACCTTTTGTCCAGTTGCTAAAATGACTTTGTGAAGGTTCTTTTATCTTTGGCAGTGAGCTATGATTGGCCTTTTATTTGTTTGATGTTAAGAATGCATTCTTGAATGGTGACTTCACTAAAGAAGTATATGTCTCTCCCCCTTGGTATCTATGGTAAGGAGATACAATTGGAATCGGAATGGCCCATTCCGATTACAATTCCAGACCCCTATTTCTGTGAACCAAACGGACCATAAGAAGCTTACTAGTGAAGGGGCTAAGAATGAGGATTAGGAACAAGAGAACTATCTGATTATGTCTTGGCTTACATCTTTGATTCAGCTTGTTGTTTGGAAAAAAAAATTATGTAGGCTGAAACAGCCAAGGAGATGTGGGACCAAGCAAAGGCAACATACTCAAAACAAAGACATTTTGCTTGGATCTACCAACTCCAAGCGGGGGTCATCAACATTGTAACAATCCAGCTCCTTCCACATGGAAGTAACAGTTGAATAGTAGGCTGTAAGGGACTTCTCCTTCCACTTGGAAAAGTGAAGAGGATGCTTTAGCATACAGAAAGTTGCTCTTTCAGGCAAGGGTGTTTATGTTTTTGGCATGTTTGAACTCAGTTTATGAGCCTATTGGAGCTCAGATTTTGGGTGGTAAGGAGTTTCCATGTCTTGAAGAAGTATTTGCTTTGGTTCAGTCTGAGGAAACTAGGAGGACTGCTTTGAATCCTAAAGGGAATGTCATTCCCTAAGTGCATTTAGGCAAATGGGTACAAACTGAGTGGAATGGTGGAACAAGATTCATGTGTCTTAGCCCATATGGTTGGGAATTGGGACGAGTCTTAGTTGAGTTGAGTTGTATCGTTTGAAAATGCATGCATTTTTTTTATTTTTGACATATATAATTATTAATATATCTTTAGGAGCTTAGATGAATATTACATTTATAAGAAAGAGCTTGTAGATTGAAATTCTGATGGCATGTTTTGAAAAGCTGCAGGGCTATCATAAACATGCTGTTCATATAGTATGTAGATATTACATAGTAATTAGAAATTGATAAAATCTTGTCTTTCTGTTATACATACCATTCTTTATTCTTTATTCATTCTCTTTAGAAGATCTTGAAGTGCTAAATATTATTTTCCCGCATACAGTTGAACGGAGAATTACAGCTATCAGGGCTATTCGCGATGTGGAGATTGAACATCTGGTAACTGGGTTGCGGTTGCTTCGCTCAAATTTTAACAAGGAACAGCAGCAAACCCCTGTGCTACAGTTTTTCAAGGAAACTTTGCCCAATCTATCAGTAGTAAGAAATGAAAAGTATGGGCAATTTGAACTGAAATGGAAAGATAAAGATGGTCATTTATCCATTAGTCATGCTGATGATAGTAATATACATGCATCACTTTTACATCAGATGGCCATAGCATACCCTGCTTGCACCAGTGCAATGCCAGCACTTGGTGGTTTTGAATTTTCAAGTAAATCAGGTAACTTTGCTTACTAGGCTGCATAAATTTCATATCCTAGCTATAATGTAATAGAAGCTGCATTCAATTTCTTGGCAGTGAAAACAAATCTTGTAGGTGCTGCAAACCTGAAGATCCCTGATTTGGTATGTAACTCCATGTTTTTATTATGGCCAAAACTTTTGAACCTCAAAAAAATCCCATTTTTCTTTGTACTCTTTTTCCTTCTTCCATTCTGATCCTTCCCTTTTGTAGGTTTTGGAGGAACCATCAGAAACTCAGATGCTTGGCTTGCAAGATGCTTTCCAAACTCCTGGAGTAAGTAGATTCTTGACCATACAATGTTTCATCCAATATTAAGCTCAATGGTGTACCATATCTGCATGGTTTGTAGGTTATATTACCTAGATATAGGTACGTTTATCAATTAGGAAGCAAAACACAGTTCATCAGACATACCGATTCCAACAAATGAAGTCTTTCCACTATTCTTATTATTTGAAGATAAACTACTGTACCAAGCATGTATGTGAGGTCAGTGGAATAGGTTTATGGATTTTATTAGTAAGGATACCATGAAGTCAACTTCTTATTGCCCCTTCTCATTGCTTTAATATGTTAAGATAATTCTACTATTATATTTACATGAATAAAATCTCCTTGAACTGTTACTGATTAAATAAGATAAATCTTGGTGATTTCAAATCTTCTATCGTGTAATGATCTAAAAGGAAAATGCATTTTGATAAATGAGCATACAAAAATAGAGTTACAAGATGAAACTAAAATGAGGTACATGGAGGCACATGATCAATGGACTTCATGTTTTTGAACACTTTAAATTTCCACTTTGCCCATGATTGACAATATTGGAGTTCTATTGACCACAACACCCCCCCAAAAGGCTCTTGTATTAATTTATTGAATATAAATTTATTATTGAAATATGTAAAAGAGTCTTTAGGGGGTATTTTCATCAATAGAGACTCCAATATTGTCATACATGGTCAAACTGGGAATTTTTTATTTTTTTAAAGCATGACTATATCATTTTCAGTTAAGTTGTTGACATTGAACTAACTGAAGGGGTTGGTTTGTATAATTTCTTGTAAATGTCAAGGTAGAAATTTGCAGAGGTCAAAGTCAAGGATCAAAATATCGATACGCCTGATACCCAAAATTGGACATTGGTGCATATCAATATCACTGCTACTCTTTTAACTTTTTTTTTTTTTATTTTACAATGATTAGAGGGATGCCTTTGATAGTCACAAGAAAATTTTGAAACACTTTTGTATCAGTGTATACATGGGTACCTGGGTGCACCGATACAGATATTTTGATCCTTGGTCAAAGATCATGGGAGGTTTAAAGCATTTGTCAGAAAACACAGGGGAGGTTTAAGCAATTTACCCAAATGGAGGAGATGAATTAAAATTACCCTATAATCAAGGAACAAAAGGAGGCAAGAAGCTTTGGTCAATAGTGGCTCTGCATTTGTCTGATATGGCACTTTTCATTTTTTACAATGGTTGTTGCTGTTGTTAAGTAACTTGCTCAATAGTGACTCTTCATAACTTTTTTTTATATTGTTGATTCTGTATAAAGTATTTCCTTGATGCCCTGTTAGGTTTTGATCCTATACCATTTAAGGTGCATGCAGTAGCTTACTTGTTCCTATCTGTAATTATAGGTTGGCACCCAGAGGCTATCTGTTGGAATGACACCCAAAACTCGAAGATTACCAAAGAATGGTGAAATGCTTCTTTCTATCCATGGTTCACCCCTTGGAGTCTACAAGGAAGATAACATGGAAGCGATACATGGTATGTGTCTTTTTAAATCAAATAGATATATCTCATCAAGTGCTATTTTTGTTTATTTCTTTTGACTGTTAATATGCAGAATCAGAAGAAGGTTGACTACTTTCGAGTTTCAACTACTTGGGTATGAACCATGGATCTTGAGATTTTACATAGTTTATCATCATGAAGGTGATCATGAAGATTCTCACACCATTGTGCCAACAGTGATGATATGTTACCCAATAAGCTGCAAGTCTGCTCGCATGAATAACTTTTAGTTATTTTAAAGCTTGGTTAGGAACATCATTTTCTAAGTACGTGTAAAGTCATCAGTTAAAGACTTGTGAGTGGATGATAAGGCGGTCGGTCTGGATTTTTATATATAAAAAAAAATATCCAGATCACCTTATGGATTTTTATATCAAAATTACTGTACTCTAATGAACGCAGAGATGATGCAGATACGAATTCTGTGGTCGCCAGAGTTGCAGATAATAAGTATTGTACTCCGGCCCCATCCCTGAAAGCGACAGAGGCAACTAATTTCAGACTTGTTTCTGTAGGAAGAGGAAACTCACTGTACTGTGGTCGCCAGATTGGAGAATGGGGTGGGGTTTGTAGTTCAGAGAAGGGGAGAAGAGAAACTCTCGTTTGAGTGGAGCAAATGGGAGGGTATGGTGACTGTAAAATCACGATCTATGATGCACTGCTGTGACTGCAACTTACATCACTTCATCCGATTCAAGATGGGGTCGTGTTAATACATGAAGGACCGTGATTCACGGTTTTACCCATGGTCTACTCCAAAGAGAGTAGTTTGATTTTTGAGCAAATGTTGGGGTTAGCTGGAAGCCTGGAACCTAAATAAACATTAAATTAGTTTTGAGGTTTTGAAACAAATCCGCCCATTGTCATTGGTGCTATTTATTAGCTTTGAAATTGATGGTTTTTTACAATGAGGACCATCACCCATGATGTAGGCCAATGCTTCCTTTTACTCTATGTACAAGTAGATTTTAGATAAATCATTTAATTTTAACATAAATTCAAAACTAGTGAAACGCGATAAAGAACAAAGATGCTAAGATCTAGAGCTGGGTTCTGATTGAGGGGATTTTTGATTTTGAGAAATAGAGAGAGAGAGAGAGAGAGGTCGAAGGTTTCTTTGCAACTATAAATGCCATCAGTGGTATCAAAGGTGCAAAACTCAATGATGGGGCCGGTGGGAGGTTGAAAGTTTCTCTACAAACTACCAGCTTTCACCTTTGCCGCTCTTGCTCAAGTTAGTTTGGAGTTCTTTCTTCAGAGACAGGCAAAGAAAGAGGGAGATTTAGAATCTGTTTGGTTTCTAGGAATAGGTGATTGAAATCAGAATTGGAATCAAAGTTAAAAGTATTGGACAAGCAAGGTGTATTTTAAGAGGCATATTGAAATATGCTTTGGATATGTATGGATACAAATGAAAAATCAAGAGACGTATAAATATAGTAGAAAATTCAAATAAATCTTAAAGATATGTTACTAATAATATTTACAAATTTTATATGATTGTAAATAAGTCATTTTAAATGTAAAAAGTCATATTTTAATGGTTTATATAAAGTGTGACATATTGGAACACAATTAGTAACCGTCGAATAATGATAAAATAACAAAAATGTAAAAGAAAAAAGTAAAAAAGAGAAAAAACTAAAATGTAAATGTCAATTTTTAAATAACCAATATAATTAATCTTAATATTTATTAGTATATAAATTTTAATAATTAATTAACACTTGTCACTCATTAAGAAAAGTGGAAATTTACTTAAAATTAAAAATACATATGATTATAACAAACAAATGTGTGTAGTTCATTGGCGAACTTGTGGTTAGCTAAAATTTGAACTTTTTACACTAACAAAACAAAATTAATGAGAGGGGATCATTAATCGAAGGAATTAATGAGAGAATTTGAATTAATCCCTAAAATTCAAAATTAAATTTAAATTTGCTTTGAAGTAATTGACTAATTAATTAAAGAGAAATTAGACTTAAACGATCAAATGTATCGAACTGTTTTGGTCGATACATATGAAAAAAAACGGAATAAATTATTTATACACATGTATCGGGTTCTTGTAAGAACGGTACGTTTCAGTCAATACGGCCCGATACGTTGCGATATTTTAAACCTTGGGCGGGATAAACCAAATCAAATTTTTTCAGAGCCAAAAGTTCAGTTAACTCTGAACTTCCATTTAATTGGAGTTGAAAAATTAAAACTAACGTGGCAATTTCCTATTCGTGGATGCAGAAAATTTTCTGCACCCTGGATGCAGACGATGTAAGCTCCATGAACTAGGGTTCATAGGATGCGACGTATTACTTTGGTTAAGAAAAAAATCTGGTCAGAATTAATTATATCAAGAATAAAGTGAGAGGTTAGAAAGCAGATCAGACTCAACTCCATAAGAAAAGGTTTGAAAGGTGGTAATAAAGTTAATGATGATCAACACCCTCTCGGTTCATTAGATCTTAAGTTAAACAAATTTAGTGAAATTAAAGGGAGGAATGCCTTAAATTATGCAAATTTGTGTAGCCTCAATTAAGAAGTGGTAGCACCACCTATACTGGATTGGGGAAAGTAGATATGATAATTCCTAAATGTGATTTGTATCAAAAAGAAAAAGATAATATCCAACTGTGACAACACTACTGATTGGAAAACCATGAACAATGAACTAAGGACTAAAATGGGGATAACCAAATCAACCTGCAATTCAAATTTAAAAGTTGAACCAACAATCAAATAGTAAGAAGCAACGAATGAGTACATCAATGGAAGGTATACTAAAGTTGAACAGATGAATCCTAGTGTAGTTAAAGGTGGGATGAGGAAAGATCTTGCCTTGAAAAGAATACCTGCATATGCAAATTCAAATTTTGAACCACCAGGCGTTCAAGAAAATAGGGTATCGGGTCCCTAGAGACAATGGCCATGCCAAGTATAAAAGAAAGAAAGCATTACTAAATATTGATTGTTAATTCAGGAAGTAAACGTAAGGGAAAGAAATCGTGTAGAAGGTAATTCATCTCGTTATCTTTAAGAGTTATCAGTTGTTTTGATTTCGTTCTGTGTAGCCCTTTTTGGTTTTATAAAAAAAATATGGTTTTTAAAACCAAATTGGTCAGGGGTCCGGTTACCGGTTCGAATGGTCCGACTGTTCGACCCGAACGGCTAGCTTGTTCTAACAAAAAAATAAAATAATTTTGAAAAACGGTCAAAACCGTTCAAACGGTTAATCAACCGGTTCAGCGATTTGCTGACCAAAATCAATGGTTTTGAGAAAAAAAACGTGTTTGGGGAAAAACTGGTCAGGTAACCGGTTCCCAATTTTTCCGGCCTGACCATCTGGTCTGGCCTGGTTTTGAAAACCATGAAAAAAATAATGTAGAAGTCATTATCACTGGAAACAATCATGAAATGGCGAGTGTCAATGGATTTTTTTTTTTTTTTTTAAAGGCGTGTTAATGGAAAATTGAAGATTTCGAAAAAAAAAAGAAATGAATTCAAATAAATATGAAGACAAGAATTGAAAACAAGATAGAGAGAAATATGAAGCTGAGAAACTATATATGATGAGAATCCATGGCCATTAATGGGGAAGATAGGAAAATCTTCAAAGATTTGCTTAGGTAAGAGGATAGAGGTGTAAAGCTATAAACCAAAGGATCACCTAACAGATGGTGAGGTAGCCCCTGTAATCCCCCAAAGTAATTAAATGACTGAAAGATTCGAAGGGTTTGAAATTAAACTACAAAGGGAACAATCAACTCATTAATGTTCCTGGAGCTCTAAGAAATTGAGAAACAAAGAGAAAATTACTGAATGCCTCGAAGACATAGTGGCATGTCCATGATTATTTCGAATGATAAAAGGAACAATAAGAGTAGAAAAGAAACAAGATGAAGTGGTAATGGACATGCATTAAATGGAGTGATGAATGATAGTTCATTAATTAAGACTGAAGTGATGAATGATAGTTCATTAATTAAGACTGAAGTGATGAATGATAGTTCCCCACCCATGCATTAAATGGAGAACTTATTGTAGGAACCAAAAACAGATTACAAATGTTGTTCTTTTCACGTCATGTCGCTTTTCAAAAAGTTATTTATCTGCCTAAGTGTATTTATCTATGTTCTTTTATTTTCTAGATAAATAAAATAAGGACCATTTTAGACATAAAAAATCATTATTTAAAAGACAATTTTGTCTCATCCAAGTGTTAGCAACTTTCCACCTAGGTGGAAAAGTTATTTACCCACTTGGAGGATGGGTATCACTTACACAGGAAAAATAATTTTTTAATAGACCCCACATAAATCTGAAAAAAGAACATGAGTATCTTGGTCAATGGGAACCAACGTTTTCGAATCGTCGTTGACACGGATGGTCAGACCGTTTGGATCGGAAACTGATCACTTGAATGGTTCTGGGTTTACCTCAAATTGTCTTTTAGTGAAAAACGTTGAAAAAGTAAAAAAATCGTCAACTCGGACAGTCGAACTGTCGACTTGTTCAACTCAAACAACAGTTAGTGGTTCAGTATTTTGTAAATTTTATTTTTTTTATTTTAATTTTAAAATAAAAATAAAATGACAAATACCTTTGAAAGTCTCTTAGGGTTTTGTTTTGCCAAACCCAAAACCAAAAGCCCCTTGCCCCCTTCAGGCATTCACCGAAGACGACGACGGCGATACACCGGCACCATCCTTCCCAGAATCCGAGCAAGCACCTGCCGGTGACCAAAGTTGCAGCGGCAGCCAGTGACCAAAGCTTTGACTTTCGAGTCTTTCTCAACTGCATCTTGAAAGGAACAGCTCCGACGACTATCTCCGCTGCGGCTACCGGTGACCACTGTGATTTTTCAGGTACTAAGTGAGCCAACAACCATTGTGATTTTTCAAGGAACCGAACCACCATTATTCAGTTCAGAACTTCAGATTTCAGTTCTTATATCTTATTTATCCATTTGAATGATTTTTAATTAACTTTTTTTTGCAATACTATGATTTTTCAAGGAACTGAACCACCATTTAGGCATCCCCTGTTTTCCAAATTTGATTTAAATCTTAAACTGATATATTTCTTTCTTATTTGAAGCTTAAAGCCTTAAAATTTGGATTTTATATAATGCATCTTGCATTGTTGGTAGTAATAAGTCAAAACATCATTGAGAAATAAGATTTTTTTGTCACATTTAGTTGGCATACTCTATAAAATTCTTGGCTGTAAAATTTCTCAGTAAAAAATGCGAGGAGAGACGAGATGGAGAAGTTGAGGGTGCATGGAAAAAGGAAAAGGCAGTGAATAATGTGGGGAAGAGGCCTTCAACATTCAGCAATTAATTACTGATTGCATTTGCAGCATCTGTGGGGTGGAATGGAAGGCATCTCAAAATGCCTAATCCTTTTGGGTGTGCAAAGTTTTGAGTTTGAGTTGGACAAACTAAGAATCAAGAAACTTTATCAATCAAAAACATTCTTGGTTTAGCTAACCTATCCATTGAGAATGAAATGGAGAATTGAAAAGACTCGTTGATTGGCTTGATTCAAGCATTGTCCTTTCTTAGTCTTCACAATTCATCCTCTGGGCCTGGGAAGGAATTTATTGTATGTAGCCTATGGCCCTTCACAGTTCTCCTTTCTTAGTCTTCTATATTTTTTGGATTTTTTTCTATATTTTTTATATTTTTTCTGTATTTTTTTGTATTTTCTATATTTTATTATTTTTATATTTAGATATTTTTATCTTTTCATATGTTGTTCTTTTTTCTTTATTTTATTTAATTTTTATGGTATTTTTTATTATATATAAATAATTTTTGTTCTTTAATTTATTTATGACATCACAGGTCAAATGTTCGACTCGGACGGTTGAACTGCCAAACCAGAAAACGGTGCCCAAAATG